CCATAAATTGACAAATTGATAAAATAAAAATTCTTATTATAGGAACTTGGTAAGTGTAATATATGAGATCTTACCTTTTTAAAAACTGAGAAAAATTAATTTTTTTCAAAATTGTTATTAGCTCATATTTAATAATAATAATCTTATTAAAAAATAAATTAAGAACTCAATATAGGTTAAAACCCATTTAAATTCAAGGAGCCGGAACCTAAAATGAAGGTTCCGGTTCCTTCTTGGGTATCCTATAAAAAATCAATTACCATCTATTAGTTTAAAAAATGACAAAAAATCCTTAAAGCTTAAAAATACACCCTTAGAAATTTTGATTTCTTGTTCATTTATGTCCAATGTGACTCATAAATCTCTCATCATCTATGCAATACTTGAATTCAATCAATTCATCACAAAATCACATAAAATTCTTCAATCAAAACCAAAACACAAACAATTATAAACAATCATACTATAAATCTATAATTTAATATTATAATTAATTAAATTTCTAATAATTTAATTAAGTACTGTACTAAGTTTATAAAGAATATTATAATAATTAAGTAATCTTACTATAAATCTATAATATAATGTTATAATTAATTAAATTTTAATCATTTAATTAGTAATATACTAAGTAATAAATTACTAATGTTATAATGTAATTTATAAAATTAAATAATTAAGTAATCATTTAATTATGTAATGTTATAATTAACAAGTAATCATACTATAAATTAGAATGTAATGATATAATTAATTAAATTTCTAATAATTAATTAAGTATTGTACTCATGTTTAAATAAAATGTTTAATTAATTAAGTAATCATTTGTTATAACGTAATGTTATAATTAATTAAGTAATCATATGATAAATTTATAATATAACGTATAATTAATTAAATTTCTAATAATTTAATTAAGTATTGTGCTAATATAATAAATATTAATTTTTTAATATGATGTCATAATTAAAGTAATAATTTAATTATGTAATTATAAATAATTATGTGATCATACTATAATGTAATGTTATAATGAATAAGTATCATACATAAATTTTTAATGTAATATTAATTAATTAAATTCTAATCATTTAATTAAATATTATGCTAATGTTTATATTAGAATGGTATAATTAATTAAGTAATCTACTATAATCTATAATCTAATGTTATAATTAATTAAATTTCTAATTATTTAATTAAGTAATGTACTAATTATTAATGTAATGTTATAAACTTATAATTAATTAAGTAATCATTTAACTATAATGTAATGATATATTTAGAACTTGATAATTGAAGTAAATAACTAAATATTATATTATTATTCAATCAAATATACTATTTTATTCAAAAATAATTCTTTTAATAACATTAAAACACTTTTAATTGGTCATAATTCCAATTATACACTTAATTAATCAAAACTTTAATCTTAATATATTTATAATATATTAAAGTTTTTTATATGATGTAGTTTATATGTATTAAGTATAATTATATATTTATTTAATTAGGTTATTGTAAAAATTTAACTTTTTCCATTTTAAATTTTTTTATATGTAAAATTACAATAAACCCCCCATTTTTTATAGATATTTTTTCAGCCCAGGTTCCAAAACAAGGTACCTACTGTAGGTTCTGTATAGGTTCCAAGCCGAGTACTCGCTGCAAGTTCTTTTTTTTAAGTTTCGGTTCCGATTCCTCCACGTGTAAGAACCAGAACTGGAACCTCACAATGTTTGTTCCAAAAAAATGAAACCAGAACCTGCCTGCAGAGTGTTGGTTTCAGTTTTGATTCCGGTTCTATCCGCTACCCATACTCACCCCTAAGTAATTTATATTTTTATTAATATAATATTTCCGATAATACAATATTCTCTAAACCAAACACATAGTTAAAGATGTTAGTGGCTGTTATTGTAGCGGACGTTAGTGTGTAAAGTCATTAGTACATTACACTAGCAAAAGTCAACGTTAGAAGTTGTTAGCTTAACTTACTCACTAAGCTTGCTTACAACCTGTTTGTATAAATGTAAGACATGTGAAATCATTTGGAATTAATCAAGCATTGATTCAATAAATTGATGAATGAGTCTCTCACATACCAGATGAATTGTATGGAATTATGGATGAGTTTTTATAATTTTAGGCATGCAGACAACTTTCGAGAAAAAGAGATGAACCCTATAAAATAGAAAAAGGAAAGGCAACTTCCGGGGAAAAAAAATGAAGAAAGTAGAAATAAAGTATAATAGTTATCACACGGTTGCGTTGATCACAAGCGTGGCATAAATAACGTGTGACAGGTAAAATAATTGGAAGTTATGAAACTTCAAAGAATCTTCAAATTAATCAATGCCTTTAATTTTGCAAGAGTGTGAAAGGTATCAAATTTATGAAAATTAAAACCAAACAAATGTATATAAATTAAAGATAACTATATACTATTATATTTTGATATAATATTTATAAATTTATTATAACAAAAATTAAAATAATACTAAAAGTACATAATACATAAAGGATTTGTCAAAATTAGAATTATATAAAATTAATAGGGGTATTTTTTACCAAAGAAAACAATCATTAATTAATATGTTTTGGTATTAAGATAAAAGTAAAATATTTTAGGGTGCGTTTGGTTCATTATTTTGAATAGAATTTTGGGAATAATATTGGATAGTTGAATAGGGTCATGATTACGAGAATATGATTTGCAGAATATGTATTTAGTAGAGTATTTTGACCTTGATATTTGTGTTGAATATTTGATTGATATATTTTTTTATAAATGATTTATTAATATAATATTTTGTTACATTTTCTTAAAATAATGTATTATTATATATATAACTTATCCTGTTATATTTTAATAATATTAAACATTTTATTGGTAATTTTGTCACCCGTAAATATTAAAAAACAAAAACCCATATTAATTTCAAGTACTAATCCAACTGTTTAAAACACATTACATTAATATATATATGACAAAAGTGCTAATTATCAACTCTTACAATCATTCTTACACGTTTACTCCATTAACAACTACGACATGGTCCACTCTGCTGTCCACAGTGCATTCGTTATGTTATCCCGTACAGTTGTCATGTTGTATATAATACCTTGTTGCGGTTGACTCGGTCCTTCTCCATTTCGACCATATTCTGTCCCGTTTTGACGATCACAATATATTTGCTCATTACCCATACTATTATTGGTTTGTTCGAAGATACGGTCGTCCATATTGTACATTCTGATAAAATTATGAAGTACACAACATGCTATAACAATCTTCCCTTGTTTGTCCAACGGGTAATTGTTCATTCCATTCATAATACGGAACTGAGAAAGTGAAATGGTGAAGTGAGAAAGTGGGAAATGTCAGTGAAGATGGTGAAGCACGCTGGTAATGGTGAACTGAGAAAGTGAGCTGGTAATGGTGAACTGAGAAAGTGAAATGGTGAAGTGAGAAAGTGGGAAATGTCAGTGAAAGAATAATGAAGCAAACTGAGAAAAATAAAAGCCAACGGTAAAAAAAGAAAGTCAAAAAAGTTGTCAGAAAAATTATTATGAAAATTGGATTGTGCAAATAATAAACCAAACATTTTTTAAAAAATCCGGCCCAAAATATAGAAAATAATACTGAACCAAACACTGCCTTAGCTTTTTACTTATATCTTATAAACAGATAAAAGTAAAAAAACAAAAAAACCTAAAGCATTTTAATCTACTAAAATGAGTTCTATTCGTCTTCAGAATTAGCCAAAATTAGCTAAAAAAGGAAACCCTAGCTAGGCGGTGGTTGGTAATCAGTGAGAAATCAGATGTCGAAGTGAGAGAGATTTTGTAGAGAAGAGACCGGAGGTTCAAATGGTGATGACAGAGAAAATTTTCATCATCATAATTGACCATAATCGGCTTTGGGTAGTAACAGAATATTAACTTGGGTGGGAAAGTGTCATTAAGGCAAACCTTGGGTGGAAAACAGTTGTTTAAAATAATTTGGAATGTGTTTGGTAAATGCTGTTTTTATAATTGCTGTTATTTCTAAAATATATGATTATGTGATCGGTAAATTAGACTTTAAAATTGTTGTTGTATAGATACTAAGCAAAAAGAATATTTTATTTTTAAAAATATTTTTAAATTCTAAATTTTAATTTTATAAGCATTTAATAAATATTAAAGTATTAATCACTGTTATAATTTTTTTTTCTTTTAGACCGGGTGCGCCTGGACTAGCTTGTTCATACCTCAACTAATTCTCGTAATCCTGAAGTTAACGGTCGAGTTAGAGTATCTCCAAAAGACTTTTTATATGACTCAAACTTTTTATCATAAAGAGTTTATCCATAAAAATAAGAGTCTAACAGACTCTTTATCTTTAAAATATAAATTAGAGAGTAAGTTTGACTCTCTATATTTAGAGAGTTAAATTTCACTCTCTATCTTAATTTTAATTAATAAACTATAAATTCTTATACATTTTATTTATTAATTCTCTCTCATATTAAGTCTTTTTCTTAAAAATAAAGAATATCTTTATTAAATTTAAAAAGTTTATAGAATTTAAATAAAAATCATGTTCTTTATATTTTAAAATTAATAAAAATACTCTTTATTTATATAAAAGAATTATAAATGCTCTTAATCTCTTGCGATCATCTCTATCTTATAATATCTTAAATAATACATTCATCGATCATCTCTATCTTATAATCGATTGAGTAATACATTCAACCTCCCGTCGGTGATTGTGAAATAAAATTAATTACTCACACGGTCTCACCTAATCCTTAATATTTTGTGCAGGGCATGCGTCTTCCTGGAAAGAGATGAAAAATTAAATAGAAAAAGGCAGGCAACTTCGGGGAAAAAGGATGAAAAAATAAAATATAAAAAGGCACAGCAATCAATCAGAGACCTACAGATAGTGGAATATAAACTCATTTAGTCTCTTATGCAATATTTTAGTTTAGCCCTTTGTTAATGTCCAGTGCCTCTGATCACTGGAACTTAATGGCTTCCTCTTCTTCTTCTTCTTCGTCCACTACTCCTAAAACAAAGTACAAAGTTTTTCTTAGTTTCCGAGGTGAGGAGACCCGGAAAAACTTTATAAGCCATCTGAATGACGCCTTATGCCGGGAAAACATTAATACTTTCATCGATGATAAACTTAACAGAGGAGAAGAAATTTCTCCAGCTCTTTTGAGTGCAATTGAACAGTCAAAGATCTCGGTTATCGTTTTCTCTGAAGGGTACGGTTCTTCGAGATGGTGTCTCAAAGAACTTGAAAAGATTATTGAATGCAAGAAAAAGTATAGTCAGATTGTAATTCCGGTCTTTTATCACGTAGATCCATCAGATGTAAGGAAACAAACTGGGGATTTTGGGAAAGCATTTTCTCAGCTTGAAGAGCGTTTTAAGGTTGATGATCCAGAGATGTTGCAGAGATGGAAGACTGCTTTGACGGACATAGGCAACCTATCTGGCTTTGTTTCAGAAAACACTAGGTAATTGTTAATTTATTATCAATAATGTCTTTTATGTAGTGATTTTAGGATTTTACTTTCAGCTGTTTGTTTTATTTTATTTTATCTTTCCAAATTTACTATGTTTTTTTTTTTTTTTAATAATGATAAACATTGAAACTTTAATATTATTTTTTGTCGAATAAATAATAAAGGAAATGAAGGAAATCATTCTAACATGAGAAAACCTATAAAAGTAGAGTATTATTTATTAAATTATAAAGAATTTGTTCGGTATCAAAACCTTAATTTATTAAGTTTGTATCATATGTGTTTTATTTATTTATAATCTACAATTTTGTTTAGTTTATTTTCTGCTTAATTATTGGATTGGATTATTAAATTTGTATATGACGTGTCTTGTTTATAATCTAAAATCTCATTAGGCTTAACTACTGAATTGGGTAAACTTTTTATTTATCATGTTATCGTATTTAATTATTTGAGGGGGTCAAAGAAAATTAACATCCTACAAATGCTATATTAAGCCATTCAAAAGAATATTTAATTTGAAAGGAAAAAAAAAGTGCAGAACTACTCACTAAATACAAGAAATCTCGAAATTTTGAGAAAGTGCTGCAAAGGAAAAAAAAATTGCCAAAAAAGGCAAAAAGATATAATAAAAAAAAGAGACCAAGGTCTAAATTACATATGATGTCATTTGATAGCTAATTAGTGATTAATTTTTTTTTACATAAACTATATTTTCATTTCTTTTGTATTAGTTGAGCATTGATCTTCATCAGGTGACAGATCTCATTGAGTATCATAAGTTTTGTAAGTGATTATCAATTATATTTGAATCCAAAATTTGGTGTCATTGAACATTGTATGTTATTTTATTTTAATAAGAAAATATTATAGTTCATATCATGACAGTTCTTTATTATGCCAACCTTATATTTTAAAATTTAAGGCAGTAGAGTAGTTTAATACTCTATTCCATAAAATTCTCATATCCTAGGATGGAAAACTAGTGTATTCTATTCTTTGATCAGTTCTAGGAAATGAAATTATGTTATCTTTGTTTCTTTTTCATTTATCTAATTTTATTATTGTTTTATTTATTTATGTTTTACCTTGACTGTTTAGGAACGAGTCATTACTTGTACAGGATATTGTCAACGATATTTTGAAGACATTGGATGATGAGTACTTGGTAATTGACAAGAGCCTAGTTGGTCTAGATTCAACAATCGAGCTGATGGAAAATTTATTATGCACGGTTGGTGTTCCCAGACTAGGAATCTGGGGTATTGGAGGTATAGGTAAGACAACTCTTGCTGGTGCTGTATTCAGAAGAATCTCTAAACAGTTTGAAGCTTCTTACTTCATTCGAAATATTAGAGAAGAATCAGAGAAAAGCGGGGGATTAAATGACTTGCGCCAAAGACTTAGTTCTAGAGTTTTAGGGGATAAACATTCCTATAATGGATTCACCTTGGAAAGAAAAAGGCTTGGCCGTGTTCTTATTGTGTTTGATGATGTGACAAAATTACAACAAATGGAATGTTTGATGGATGATTTTGACTGCTTGGACTCTGAAAGTCGAATAATCATAACGGCAAGGGATGAACAGGTACTAAAAGAATGTGGAGTGAATTACATACATGAGATGGAAGGATTATTTGGTGATAATGCTTTTGAACTTTTTAATTGTTATGCCTTTCGAGGAAAGAGTCCAGCAGAAGATTTTATTGAGCTATCATCAAGGGTAGTAGCATATGCTGAAGGTGTTCCTCTTGCTCTTAAAGTTTTAGGTTCCTCTCTATTTGAGAGGCCAAAAGAAGATTGGGAAAGTACTCTAGAAAATTTGAAAAGAACTCCTCATATGGATATCCATAATGTATTCAAAGTAAGTTATGATGGGCTAGATAATAAGCAAAAGCAAGTATTCTTAGATATTGCATGTTTCTTTAAAGGGTGTGAAAGAGATCTTATAGAAGAAGTCTTGGATGCCTGCGGCTTCACCTCACGTATTTATATAAATGTTCTCATTGAAAGGTCTCTCATAACTACCTCACCCAACATCATAACAACCTCACCCAACATGATAATAGCTTCATCCAACATCATAACAATGCATGATTTAATTCAAGAAATGGGTAGAGAAATTGTTCGTGAAGAGTCGGCTAATCTTGGTGAACGTAGTAGGTTATGGGATCATGAGGAAATCTGCTCAGTATTGAAGAAAAATACGGTGAGAGCCAAAAACACTAATTTTTTTACTTCTACTTTATATGAGAAACAATAAAATATTAGCTTGCACAATATGCCTTCCATTATCCTTGGGAATTAGCTTAACTGTAAAGTAATTGGGAAGGGATCTGAGATGTCTTCTATTTACACATATTTTGGGAAGAAATATGAAAAAACAATTTTTATTATGAGAACTAAGTACTTTGACAGTTTTTTTTTTTTTTTAATTGAAAATCTAGATAAAGGAATTACTTGACAGATTATGTAATTAATATCGGAATTGGCGACCACTTCAACAATAAGGGATTCGTCTATAAGGGGCGATGCATCCGGGGTCGTGTGTGTTCTTTCTTATTGTTTGTCTTAAGAATAAGAATCCTAGTAGTTTAGGGTATTTCTTAATAACTCTAATATATAACCACAGTATTTTTTTGTATGAATGATATAACAAGTCATAGTAAATACATTCATTATAACGAGAGCGGTGAGGAAATATTAACTCTGTTGGAACTTGGACGTAGCCTAAACTTGGATGAGTTAGGATAAATTGCGTGTATTCTTTCTTATTACTATTTTGTTATTTGGGTGTGATTGACTTTGTTTTGATTCCAAATATTCTCCAGATTGTTTCACTTAAGAAATTTCAAACTAATTTATCATTAATATGCTCTTGATGTTTAGGGGAAAGGAGCTATTCGAAGCATAAGCTTGGATATGTCTAAAGCAAAAGAGATACGTTTACAACCTAAGGCTTTCAACAAGATGCATAACCTCATGTTCTTGGAAGCCTATGGCTTCACGCGTGGTAACAAGTTACATGGTTTTGAAGACCTTAAATCTGATTTCTCTGAGCTAAGGTACCTTTGTTGGTATAATTATTCTGCCGAATCATTGCCACAAAATTTTGATCCAGAGAACCTTGTTGCACTCTATATGACTAGTAGCAACGTTAAACGACTTTGGACTGGTGACAAGGTATTTGTTAACTTTTATATTACCATTTTGTGCTTTAAATTGTAATTATTTATAGGTTATTTCTGCTTTTTTTTTTATTTTTAATTTATTCAATTTGTTATTTTGTTACAGAAACTTAATAATTTGAAACATATTGACCTGAGTCACTCCGAGCATCTACTCAAAATGCCAAATCTCTCATTAATTCCAAATCTTAAGAGCTTGGTTCTACAAGGTTGTACAAATTTGTATGAGGGTTTCTCATCTATACGTGATCTCAATAAGCTTGTCCTCTTGAATCTAGTAGCATGTCAAAGATTTGAAAGTCTTCCAATCAACCCTGGTTGGAAATCTCTTCGAAAACTTATTCTCTCGCAGTGTTCAAAACTCAGAACAATTCCATATATCCCCAATACAGTAGAAGAGTTATATTTGGATGGAACTGCAATAGAAGAATTGTCGTCATTAAGACATCTTTCCAGCTTAAAAATATTGAGTCTTGCAAATTGTTCAAAGCTGGAGAGTCTCCCAGAGAGTATTGCTGAGTCAGAGAATCTTCGAATAGTTATTCTCTCCAATTGTTCAAAGATCAAAACAGTTCCATGCATCTCTAGTAGTGTAGAAGAATTATATTTAGATGGAACTGCAATTGAAGAATTGCCGCCATTAGAGCATCTGTCCACACTAGTAAAATTGAGTCTCAAAAATTGTTTAAGACTAGAGAGTCTCGCCGAGAGTATTTGTGAGGTAAAATCTCTTCAGTGTCTTTATCTTTCGGGTTCTTCAAAACTTGACAGATTGCCTAACGGCCTGAAAAATTTAAAAGCACTGGAGGAACTTGAAGTGGATGGAATTGGAATAACAGATTTACCGCCGTTGACTTTAACATGTTTAAAAGACGTTAAGAAATTATCTTTCGTGAGATGTGGGATTCAGAAGCCACCGGTTTCCCTACTGTCACAGTTACCGGCCTGCCACAAACTGGAGCAACTAAATCTGGAAGACTGTTGTATCGAAGTGTTACCTGAAAATCTTGGCGAATTACACTCACTGACATTTTTATATCTTAGCGGAAACAATTTTGAGAGTCTGCCAGAGAGTATCAAAGACCTATCTAAGTTGTATGAGCTTGATTTAAGCAATTGCCAGAGGCTGAAATCCATACCGCAACTTCCAGATAAGTCACTACGTATAGATGCAAAGGCTTGCACATCACTGGAAGCGGTAAGAGGTTTACCAACTCAATGCCTAAGTATGGGGACTCACAACGAGGAAATTAGCTTCATCAATTGTTGCAATCTGAAACTAGATTTGACAGATACTCTGCTGAATATTGAGAGAAATGCAGATCTATGGTTTAGGTCTGAAGTAAGTCTATCTCTCTCTCTCTTTTTCATATTATACAATATAAAAATTTATTTACGTACTTTTAAAAATAAAAAGTTATAGAATATTTAAAATTAAGAAGGTTAGAAGTTGATGATTTTCTTGGCACAGGAAAACACAACATCTCTGTCACGGGTGCCAAAGGCATATAGCCTGCCAAAGGCTTCTATATGTTACCCAGGAAGCGAAATTCCAGATTGGTTTACCCTTTTAAGTCAGACTGGTTATATAGAGTTTCCACCAGATTGGCTCAGTGATGACTTAATTGGTTTTGCTTTTTGCGCTGTTGCATCATTCCGAGACTATGAAGAGGCTGAAGCTTTGCAAGTTCGTTGTTTTCTGGTTGTTGACGAGAAGATCGTTTCCACTGGCTGTTTGTTTAATGATTATGGGCATGAGGTTATTGAATCAGATGATGTTATTGAATCAGATCATGTATTCTTAGGATATGATTATGATATCATGGCCTTGGAATTGCTTACTCTCAGTTCGAATAGCAAGGGCTACATGGAGTTCTTTGTTGAGCATGGAAGTATGAATTGCAGAAAAAAAAGCAAGGTGACAAAGTGTGGAGTCAGATTCTTGTACACTAGAGATAATTATACAAGAATAGATGCAAGAGTGGACAGAGACCAGAGATTTCCATGCATAAATGGCTGCTTGAGGTGCTATCTCCATTGCTGCGTGGAACATGATGAAATGGACGAAAAAAAACCATATGAAATTTTAGATAGCTGGTCACCACATTCAGAAATATACAAGCCACCAATAAGAAGGGATTAGTAAGTTGGATTTAATTCACGAAATATTTCCGTTTGGTTTATAATATTTGATTTATAGGTGAAGCATAACTAAACTTTTTATTTCAAAAAAAAAAAAAAAAAAAAAAAGAATTATACAATGATCTTAAGTCGTAATGCATGGAAAATGATCTTGCGTCATTTATTCACATGTTGAAATAACATATGGCTATGTTATTATTATTATTTTTTTGTATTGATGTAAATATTAACTGTATTTTACAGTTCAACGTATATCGGGTGCAAAGTGCTTGCACACCATGAGCATCGCAAGCGCATGGACTGGGCTAGACTTTCGCCAAACTCAGAGGTTCGACTCTTCTCAAAGAAAAGAAGGTGATGTAATTTCAAACCCATGTAGCTTATTATTTAAAGGTTATTGGAACAACTTGAATGATTCCCTTTTAGTTCCCCATGTCCCTCCCGTGGTAAAATGATGGCTGATGCTTGTGCAAATTCAGCACAGCAGTTTATTCTTGCTTTGGTAGGAAACCCTCCACAGGAAAATCAAGGCTTTTTACTCCTTTCTGGGCATAAACGGAGGGAATTTTTTTTTAAAAAAAAAAAAAAAACTTATATATGAAACTCATGAAGCCCTATTCTCATGGCAATTTATCAGCTAGCCTTCGGCAATTTATATTCATATTCATGTCCTATGCTCTGCCGTTCTCCATTCTGTTCAAGAATTGTGCAGTAGCTTTTTTGTCTTATGTTATTCGTTGTGTTTTCAGACTGGCTTGATCTCGTGTGCACATGCTAATGATTTAGTTGGCAACTTGGCGCATGGACACATATTCTGATGACTGTCATCTCAATGTTTTCTGGATTTTCTTTCCTGGAATCGAATTATGTTAGCGGGCTACTGTGAGTGGACACATGCTGTTTTGATGTTTCTGGTGTTTGGTTTTCTGGACTGTGAAAGGATGCTGATTGCACTTTAATAGTATTGTAATCGGACATTATGTGAATGTTCTGTTTTGTTTGAGACACTAGTTTATTGTGAACTAAAAATTTTCCTGATGTTTCTGCCTTCTGAGGCTGCTTTCGTCTTTTACTTTGCATTATCAGATTTGTTTCCAGATAGTTGGAATTCCTATCAAAATTGCATTCAGTATTATCACAATCATTCTCTAAAAGATGTATATAGATATTGCCAATCTTTGATGATGACATACGTGCGTATCAAAAGTCAACAATTAGTCATTGATCCGCATTTTAAAAACTACAAAATATGCACACATAAGAATTTATATATGAATTTTTGGCATGATCAAAATCCAATGTCAGCCTAGATGATTTATAAACATTTCACTTTTGCAGGGAGGGATTAACGGTCAAAGAAGTAGAATTATGTACTTTGATTAACCCACCTAGAAAATGTTGTGAAATAAAATACATTTCATCATTTAACAGTGAGCCGAAATTTGTGGAAACATGCTATTATTGAAAATAAGCTTTCTGAAGAGATTGATATTTAAAGGATTTGAAGAGTTACATGCTTTTCCCAAGCTCTTAAAAGACAATACTCTCATAACTTTGACATAGCATAGTCCAAAGCATCAACAAGAAAATCTGCAATTCCACAACAGAACAGTGTGATTAAACATTATGACAAAACAAATTTACAATAACAGATTCAATGGCTACTGGTAAAATCTGTCTGATGAAAGGAAGTTACAGAAAGTTACCTGCATCATCTTTGGTGAAACACATTGGTGGTTTGATTCTGAAAACATTTCCATGTAGTCCACCTTTCCCAACAAGAACACCGAGCTCTGCAATTGCAACGAGTCAATGTAAAATGTGAATTAAGAGCTTTCCTCTGAAGAAGAGTTGGTTAATTGTACCACTAAGTTTCTCAAACAAGACTGCAGTTTCAGCCTTCACAGGCGTCTTCCTCTCCCTGCCTGTTACTAATTCAACTCCCACCATGAGTCTTCTCCCTCTCACATCTCCAATGACTGAAACAAGATTTCATCAATGCGTGAAAAGCTGCATTATAAGATTTCAATTTCAAAGCATAAGACATTTAATCTGAAATACTCAAACAGCTTTTCAATTGAACAAGAAAAAAGACAGCGAGAGAGAATCAGCAAGCCACAGAAAACTTTCATAAAATCTATGTGAAGACTCAGGATGTTTAGAAGTAGACATTGTGTGTCAGCAGCACAGAACATGTTATTATTAGTCTCTATAGTAGTCATATCACACCAATCATTTCAATATGATGATGGGATAGCAATTGGTGCTTCTGCCAAACATCTCCAAATGTTGTTACAAGCAGAATGATTTATTTTCAGTGCTGCATGAAAACCTATAGAAACAAAATAGATCCACAATTGGGTTTTAGACTCATATACATATTCCTGAGGAGCTTAGTTCATATAATTAAGGAGGGGAGCAGAAAGAGTATGTGCGCACGCTGGCACATACACACTAATTCAAAGTCTTAGAATGACTGCAATGAGCTTACTCAGAAACTCTGTTTACGACATTTGCTTACATGATATAAGAATATGGTTAAACAGCCCAGGTCTCGCCAAATTTGCAGTTCAATTTAATGTAAAGCAAACACAGTCAATTGAGGAAAAAAAAAAAAAAATTCTTAGAAGTTATTAGTTCAAGAGTAATTACTATCATGTCTCTCTTGTAGAGCTCTCAAACGTGCAATCAGGTGAGAACCAACGTAAGCACAATGTGCTTGACGCTTTTCTTTATCGATAACCCTGAGCACGGCAAGCCCGCCAACAGAACATACCGGGTTTCCACTAGAAGTATTGAACTGAATCTTCTGAGCCATTACACTAGCTATCTCTGGTGTTGTCACTATAGCTCCTAATGGCAAACCATTGCCAATTCTAATGTAGGATCTCCGAAGATCTCTTGCAAATTTTGTCTTCAATCAGTGCAGAATTTCTTGCTACGTTTAAACTATAGCAATTTCTATAATTTCCCTTATTTTAGACTTATGTTTGGCCTTTCTCATTATCATCTGTTGAGTTGAAGAAATGAAACGGTGCAGTTTTGGCCATAAGTGGTGTGACGTCGTTTTGGGAGCTGCTAAAGTGAATCCTGGTTGTTGATTAACTTCAGATCCAATGGCTGAAAATCAACCCTTGGTCAACACTATATAAAGAAGCAAATATTGGGAAATGGCTACAGTTCTTCTTCGTGTGTGATGGAGCAAGTTTCTTAAGGGTTTTTTTTTCTCTTTTACATTCAATCTTTGTAATCTTGGGTGAGTGAGTGTTTGTTTTCATTCAAGTGAGAGGGGTTTTACTCTCAAGTTCTTGGGGAATTTGATAGTGTTCTCTAGGTAAGATTACGGGTAAGATTGGGTTGTATCTTTGAGTGATTGATCTTTGATCTGTGGTGTAAACTTGATTCTAATTGATTAGTGCAGTGAGCTCCTCTGATTCTGGAGCTCAACATGGACGTAACCTACCCAATCTTGGATAGGTGAACCATGGTAAATCTGTGTGTATTGTTATGGTTTTTATCTTAATTATGTGTTAAAGATTAGGAATATTTTCATAACAGTGGTATTAGAGCATTGGAGATATGATCTTTTTTTATTTCTGAGTGACAAATTTGTTCAATTGAAAGTTTAGGGAAACCTAGGGTTTGTGAACAATTTGGGGCTTTTGTGTCTAGGCGTCTCTTTAGCACTCAAGGGTTCCCAAATCGTAAAATCGAAGGTGAAATTCGTTGATTTGATCTGTTCTTGGAAGTCTAGGGTTTCGTTGGGGATATTAACTCAGAAATCAAAATTGAACTTTAGGATTAAAATCAAAGTGAATCTTGAAGTTTCTTTAATACACACACAATGTCTACAACTACTAGAATGGAGATTACCCAATACGATGGGAAAATCGACTTCAGTAGTTGGAAGAAAAAGAAGAAGGCACTACTCTCCCACAACAAGGTGGCTCTGGCTTTGAAGAAGAATGCTGAGAAGTGGCCTGAGGATAAGCTGAAGAAAAAAGTAGAAATTGATGAAGAGGCGTACAACCTAATCATCATGAACTTGGCAGACAATGTCCTGCGGAAGGTAGATGGCCTAGAGACTTCTCTGGCCTTATGGGTTAAACTTGAATCACTTTACGCTTTACAATCTACATCTAATCTTGCATTTTTAAAGGGTGCATTGTTTTCATATAGGATGGATAGTTCTAAGTCTATAGAAGACAACCTAGATGAGTTTCTAAAAATGACCTTAATACTTAAGGGGACTAATCAGGAACTAGGAGATACCAGCCTTGCCATGATTTTACTGAATTCTTTAACTGATGATTATTTGGTTGTAAAGAATGCATTGCAATACTTAGGGACTATACCGAGTCTAGATTTAATCGTTGCAGGCTTAAAAGCTATGGAGCTTGAACTAAAAACCCAAAGAAGGAATGGAAGCAATTTGTTTGTAAAGAGTAAAGGTGAAACTAGTCAATCTAGTAAAGGAAACCAGTATAATAATGGTCCTAGGAACAAGAAAAACGGTAAAGGAAACAATTGGCTTAAAGGAGAAAACAGAAAATCCTTTTATTGAAATAAAACAGGTCACCTAAAGAAGAATTGCTTTGAGTGGATTAAAAAATAGAAACAGGGAAATACTGAGAGTAATATAGCTTCAACTAAAACCCACATAGAAGAGCCTGAAGTCCTTACCGTGTCAAAAATTGACTGTGTGCATGAATGGGTGTTGGACTCTGGTTGTTCCTTTCACATGAGCCCAAATAAAAATTGGTTCCACGATTTTTAAACGTATGAGCATGAAATTGTTTTAATGGGTAATAATAATGCGTGTGGAGTTAAGGGAATAAGGAGTATCACACTAAGGCTAACTAGTGGGAAATTGGTTAAATTGACTAAAGTCAGATTTATCCCTGAACTAAAAAGAAACTTAATATCTTTAGGGACTCTAGATGAATCTAGTTGCAGTTATGGAGCTGAAAATGGATGTTTGTTTTTGTACAAAAATGAGAACCTTGTCCTTAAAGGAGAAAAGAAAAATGGCTTGTACATTCTCTATGGTAGTTATAACTCTGAACTACATTATTATGCTCTTGTCTCGACTAATGTTTTTGTAACAGAAAAATGGCACCTAAGATTGGGCCACATGAGCCAAAGGGGGATGAACATTCATAATAGACAAGGGATGTCTTGTAAGGATACTATTTCTACTTTAGACTTTTGCGAAAATTGTGTGTTGGGAAAACAGCACAGGTTGAGTTTCAAAAGGAGAACTCACCTTGCTACTAAGTGTTTAGAGTACCTTCATTCAGACTTATGGGGACTTGAAAAAGTTAGGGTCCATGGAGGAAGTAGTTATTTCCTCTCTATAGTTGATGATTACAGTAGAAAATTCTGGGTTTTTCTTCTTAAGTCTAAAGACCAGGCCTTAGTTAAGTTCAAAGAGTGGAAACTTCTAGTAGAGAATCAGGTTGATCATAGAGTCAAAGCATTGAGGACAAACAATTGTCTAGAGTTCTGCAATACTAAATTTAATAATTTTTGTAGAGAGAATGGTATCCTAAGGCATAGGACTGTTAGAAAAACCCCTCAGCAAAATGGGGTTGCTGAGAGGATGAACAAGACTTTATTAGAGAAGGTTAGGTGTCTCCTCTTTACCTCTGGCATGCCTAATACTTTTTGTGGGGAAGCACTAACCACAGCAGCGTATTTAGTGATTAGGAGCCCTTCCACAACTATAGATATATATTGTCCAAAAGAAAAATGGTTGGGTAGGAGGCCTGATCTGAGTCATTTGAGGATTTTTGGGTGTGTAGCCTATGCACACACT